ATTAGACCTATATGATTAACTTTAGTGGTGACATTTGAACGCGACTTCTCTTTGTACCAAATAGGTGATGTTCCATGCAATATATATATTAACAACGCCATAGACTGTTATTGTGAATAATTGTTCGGTAGTTAAAAGACAACGCGTATATATATATATTAACAACGCCATAGACTGTTATTGTGAATAATTGTTCGGTAGTTAAAAGACAACGCGTGTACGCTTATTGTTATATTATACTAGCGGCGATGTCACTGATGTGTCGTGAAATCCATCGCAATAGCAGGTTTATGGATTTGCAATATGCACAATTTTCTGTGGAATTACAATATCATGAGTAAAATCGGACCTACACTCGGCTCGCAAGACAGAATATGAGAACGCAAGAAAAAGAAGGCGATCTTGCCTTTTTATGTCCAATTACAACTGTTTTTTTAAGTAGTAATCAACACATTTAAGTAGATTAATAGGAATTAGGTTAATATGGAATACCAGTAGCCTCAATACAGATTTGCTGTGTCTTTGATAGCCTGCGATAATGAACCTGCTATCTAGTGTTAATCTGTAAAAGGGGCTTCATTATTAAAGTGCGAAGCCTTGTAAAAACACAACGATTAATGGGGCACTCACACCATAACGATTGCCGGTTGCGTATGGTTGCGAATAAAAATAGTATAAGTTTCTAACGTAACTCTCATGCAACTGAGTTTTGATGTGCGTTCGTTACTCATGACCACTTTCATTGTTCGCTACCACGCGCATCTTGTAATCGCTTTGGTGTGAGGGCCCCTTAGGTGATTTCCCCTTATTATACCGAACAGTCGTGAGAGGAACGCGATGACATAACATAGAAAACGAAAAGGTTAACGAATAGCTTGAAGTGAAATATTGGTCGCCTATTGTAATATTATACAACTTTTCGTATTGTGCTCTTATCTTGCTTGTTTGGACTTATACTTGAATTGGTGACCGAACGGGGACATCGAGTGACCCCAACAACATGCTTGGATGTTAGCGGAATATACTGTTTGACGTTTTAACCATTTTAGATATATTTCATATTTAGATTACGACTGAAATATTTGAGAGTTTGTCAATCCACAAGACTGGTTTGCGATGCATTAACGGATATTAGAAGCGGATGAATTAAATGACCAATTGTGTTTTAGATCTTCATTAAAAATAGTCATAAACATATAACCGATAACAACCACTTGCTGATGATATCGTTAACCGTTTGAATAAACCCTTTTTCTTCTTGTTGGTGGATGGTTTCGGCTTCGGAAAAATTCCATATCGCAGACGTTGAGTAGGGAGCGACTTGCTTCCATGCTCTTTTGATTCTTCTTCTGTAGTCTTGAGTAAACCCGTTTAAAACTTTGTTTTCATACTTTTCTTCTCGTGTTATAAGTATAGGGTAGCGAGAGGCTGGACTGCTTTGTGAAACCATTTTATCACAGTGAACGACTAGTTAAAAGTGTTTAGTGAAAACTGTTCTTAAACAGTGGACATCTAAAGAAAACAACTAGAAGCAATAAGTCAAGAAATTTTGAGAAATCTATAGTGTGATATTATATAGCTGAAGGAATACTTTAAAACGCCAGTTTATACCAGCGAAAACTGAAAACTACTATTTTGTAAAACTGTTTTTTTAAAAGTCTGGCAACTGATATATAGCGTGCTTTGGGATAATTATTCTATATTTGAGGATAGCTGAACCGATTTCATTGTGAAACCATTTTTCAACAGCGTACAACGGAAGACAAGACTGTTTTGTGAAACCATTTTTCAACAGCGTACAACGGAAGACGAGACTGTTTTGTGAAACCATTTTTCAACAGCGTACAACGGAAGACAAGACTGTTTTGTGAAACCATTTTTCAACAGCGTACAGCGGAAAGCAAGGCTGTTGTGTGAAACCATGTGGTAGAGGCGGACAGGTGGGACTGTTTTGTGAAAAGAAAATTATAAGCTTACATAATTGTGGAGACCATTCTAAAAGTCAAAAGATTTTTTTGAAAACTATTTTAAGTGGACCAAATTTCTTCAAAATGAACGTGTCGGATATAATTTTGGACGACTACCAAAACAGTGTGAATGAATCAGATATTTTAATAGGATGGAACGGATCAGGCTTACCGGATCCGATATACAACAGTACGTTACTAGAACAACTAAATGCAGCTCGTCGGATTCTCAATACCCCGATCATCATTTTCTTGTGTTTTGTTCTATTTGCTGGAATCATTGGAAACGGTTTAGTTATAATCATATACCAGTTTTATTCTCCTAAAACTTCAGCCAATTTCTTTATCCTGGTGTTAGCCATATTGGACTGTGGGAGTTGTATTGTTTTTATACCGTTTCAATTATATGATCTCTGGAATCCTTACACTAATTCCTTACCTATTCTTTGTCGCATCTTGCGATATCTAGAGAACCACGTGTACTTATATTCCGGTTTCATCTTTATCTGTATTTCGTGTGAAAGATACGTGAAAATTTGTTACCCGTTCCATACGTATACCATTTCCAGAGCTAAAACTGTAGCCTTTATCGTATTTGTGATTTCGTTGACGGTAACGTGGCCACAGTTTGTGATGCATGGACGTAAAACTATGGTCATCGGTCCTGACCGAGTGGTAGGTGAAGACTGTTCACATACGAATGAATTTCAAAATTCCATCTATTCCTTACTGTACCACTATCTGTTGTATTTTGTCTATATTGTGTGTTGTACCATGTTCTTTTTCTTCTACGGAAATATTTTACGAGTGATTATTAAACGGCGGTTGAAGATGAATATTAAGACCAATGAGCATCCGGATGGTTGTCGTACAGACTCGTTGGGTGGTGTTGGTGGGATCAAGATGCGACCCAGTAGAATGACCTTATGCCTGACAACGGTCATTATAACAGGAGTTGCTAGTTTCGTACCATTTTTGACGTTGCAGACGTTACGTTCATCCGGGTCTTACTTCAAAGAGACGTTGCTGCCATCTGGTGAATTTTTCCACTACGGATCGTCTAAATGGATTGAATATATGTATATGTTTGGATTGAGATCGTATTTTCTGGGAAGTGTAGCTAACCCTATTATTTATAGTATCATTAATCCGAACTTCAGAAGCCGATCAATGATTCCTTTTAGAAAATTAAAACAAAAATTTTGTCCTTGACGTGACAGTGACCAACCTCCGGTGAAAGATTTTTGTGTTTTAGAATAATTGATAAGGCCTTCCAAAATTCTTCTGGTATTTTGACTTCAATGAGCAATCACATTATTTATTCCTGCTGATTCCGAACCGAAGGCATGTTAGGGGCTATTTGCTTTTAAATTGTGCTATAATTCCTTTCATTTATCATGTGAGATAAGATGAAAGTCAACTAAATATTTTATACATACCCACAAAATAAAACTGAATTTGAAGTGAAGAAAATGAAATGAAATGAATGGAGTTTACGTCCTACTCTTCTGCACCTTGTGGACTAATGAAGACGGGCAACGCCATGCAGGGTGCCATGAGGGAAATTTTGCCAGGACAGTGGCATTAGCGTGCTCTTTTTCGATTTCCAACTGTCGAGGGTGAAGTGAAGAAAAAAAGAAGTGAAAGAAGAAAAAAAACATAAGTGATAAATATAAACATTCTTCAGAAAGTGGTGAATCAGAAAATATAATTCCTTTGTGTTTTTAGATTCAGGACGAGTCTCTAGAGCCAGTTGTCACCTATTTGAAACTGCAAATAGCAGACAGGACTTATTCGGGAGAGTTGTTTCCCTTTATAAACTGCAATATGTATTTGATGTAATTATATTTGAGACGGTTCTATGTCGTAAGAACAATGAATAATGATATACTTCCTCATGTTAAAAGTTCGTTAACTGCTACCAATGTTTAGTTAATAATATGTTGTTAGGTATTTAGATTCAATATCGTCTCAAAATACAACTATTCGATAGCTTACAATATTTTAACTTATGTTGGGTGTTATATATATTTCATCTGTTGATATCTAGATCCAGATTAATTGTTTTAGTTTGTACATAACTCCAAGACCGGAACTGACAGATTTGCTATTGAATATGAAATAAGAATAAGAATAAGAATTGGGGTTTTCTAAATGTGTTATTTGTTTTCAAAAAAAATAGCCGCTTTTGCGATATTCGTATCATTTTAGTGTAATATTGCAAGTCCCACTGACATTCAAGAGATGCTATCAGAGTCCCTATACACATACAAGTTTTTGAGGTTTGGTGTTCTGTGATTTTTTAGATTGACACTGCGTAGGTTCATAATTATAATAATGGTTGTTTGTGTCTTAGTGTGTATGTGTGCTTATTTCGTTTTAGCTTCAATAAATACATGTAAATGAAATGATATAGTGTTTATTCTGCACCTTATTGAGCTAATGAAGACGGACACTACAATGCAGTGTGCAATAAGGGACATTTTTCCAGAACAGCGTCTAGACTATTGCTTGTTGAATTCCACTGTCGAGGAATCTCGAAGTATACATACTGTAATAGACGGGATCTACCAGTTGGTCCTTGTCTATATCTCTTGGCATTGATCTTTCCTGGATGATCTGTACCCATTTACAGTTGGATCAACAGCAATAATTAGACAAGTTAGACTATTCAAGGTCATCAGACCCACGACCACCATTAGTTCGCCGTAACCAACTAATGACGTCATATAAAGATAACGCCCGAACGGCAACTTAAGCTTTAGCAATATAGAGATTAAGTATGTAGACGACCATATCCTTTTAAGTACCTTTTCCTTTCAATAACTCTACATGTTTTTTTCTGAATGAGATTGGAATTGAAAGAAACTCAAAAAGATTTCTCGTGTTTCAATAATAGAAGAAGAAAGCCCAACACTGGCAATAGCAGTAAATCATAACCCTATATCAATAACATACAGTCCATATAACAGACAATCTTATTTATATATTATAATATCATTATACAATACAGCACTTAGATTAAACATAAACTTAAGTAGGCTTATGTCCTAATGAAGTGGCCCTTTGTCGTGAGTATAGAGAGCTTTGTCTCAGTCCATGAGAGTTATTCGGTAAACAACGTGGCAAGAAGCTGCTTTTAGCACGATTTTTCACTTTCGATTGAGAGTTAACCATTTCGGTATCAGATTCCTTTTGTTTTAAAAACACTCTGGCCCTTTCACTCAACATACTGTTCTCTCTCACAAACCGTCCGTCTTTATTTAATTTCGGCAGTAAGCCGTAACGTTGGTACAGATCCATCCTGGTCCGTTCCGTGTTCGACATAGCACGTAACGTTTGATTCAACATCGTCCATTTCAAATTCGAGTCGTTACATTTTTTCTGGGTTATCTGTTCTTGCACATATCGTCGGATGATCACCCAACCACGTTTAGCATTGTCTAATGTCCTTTTACTCGGCGGTGGATGTAGCAATAGCTCTAATTCCGCCTCTTCTTGCGATAACGCTTCGTCTTTTTTCGCGCGCCTTCTGGCCATCATTCGTGACGTCATAGCAGAAATATTTCCAACCTTGCCTCTCAATTGAGTGTATCCGATTTTCTGCCCGTATTCCGGATTTCCATAAAGATCCACCATTACTTTTTGGAAAATGTCACTTGATTTAAAATTCGGTTTCTGGACACTTGTTACATAATCTGTGGCAACGTCAATATTTTTTATATGATTGGCAAACACTTGCCAACTGGTTTTTATCGAAACGTTGTCATCCATATCCGAATTCACTGACATTGACCGAGTGATCTTTCTGTTCTCGGTATCGTCCAATTCATCCTGAGGAAGTTTGGAAATTTTACTGACGTCAGACCGTGGAGAGGGAATCAAATCACTGTCTGTGTCCTTCTGTTTCAAGTCGGTGCTGGCAAGAGAGAAACCTTCCACAGAGGATCGAGTGAACAGAACGGATTTAGATCGGTAAACTTGATCCGGAGAATCCGACAAGAAGTTGTTGACCATAACACTGGGACGTGTCGGACTGCTAACCGTTCTGTCCGGTCTGACTGAGGTTTGATAAGTGTCACTCAGAAACTTCATGATTGATTTTCACTTCATTCACATACAAATCAGCGGAAATTAAAATCCGGAGAACGATAAATTCTACACGAACACTCCAGTCTGTATGGCGTACACTATCAATAGAGCTTGTTTGTCTTGGCCATATTAACTTGAAAATTAGATATTGATAACAGTGATTATGACTGGGGCTATAAAATATGATTTCAAATAAACAAAGTCATAACCATAAACTTCTTAAATAGCCTTCGACAAAACTTGTGAAATTAAAACACAGCCGTTATTCAATTCTGAATAGAACCTTTCTGAACAAGTCAAAATTAAAATCAAGTAGTCAATAGGGGGTTCTGAAAGACTGTGATTAGCAAGGCCGCGTTTATGATTAAGACATACTTGTAGCTGTCATATATTTCAATGGGCTCTTCTCTACAAAGTCAAGGCAGGATTAAAACATAACCGCAACAGAGCTGTTATAGAATAGCTACCTTTCTTAGTTGCTAACGCCATACACAGTTATAACTTTGATATACACATAGAACTCTTATTGAATAAGACTGAAATCTTTGATATAGATTTTGAGTAAATTTTTCTTCAATCGAACGCTCGTGTTAATTCATGGCTTTGATGTCACCAGTTATAGGTACATTCACAGCGTTGAGATATCGTCGATATTAATTTTCAATCTAATTAAAGTTTTAATTAACTCTAAGTTTTAAAAAAAGTGCTTTGAAATGTATCTTTAGAATATTTTACAAAAGAAATATTATACCAGTCTATATTTCGAAAACATATCGGATATTCCGATATTAATCCGTTATAATGACAGTATAACAGTATATCAATCAGGTATCATTACAGTATATCAACCCGGTATCATTACAGTATATCACTATATTAATCCGTTTCATTACAGTATATATCTTTATCAATTGGTAACATTACAGTATATCTATCCGTTATTTTAGTTTATCAATCCGGTATAATTACAGTGTATCACTATATCTACTCGGTATAATTTCAGTACATCACTACATCAATCCGGTATCATTACAGTGTATCACTATATCAATCAGGTATCATTACAGTATATCACTATATCAATACGGTATCATAATCACTACATCAATCCGGTATCATTACAGTATATCACTATATCAATCCGGTATCATTACAGTGTATCACTATATCAATCCGATATCATTACAGTATATCACTATATCAATCCGGTATCATTATAGTGTATCACTATATCAATCCGGTATCATTACAGTATATCACTATATCAATCCGGTATGATTACTGTATGTCAATCCGGTATCATAATAGCCATCAATATGGTACCGATACATTGTTTTCCATTTCAATCCGGGGGAAGCATATATAGGGCCATAAGTCCTATGCAATTTGGATACAAAGACAGTATTTCATTTAATGATTAAATGCAGTATATAGTATTCCAATTTATCAATCCGATATACGATACGATGAATACGAGTTTATTAATCCGGTTTTAATAAAGAATATATCAGTCTCTTAATCCTATATTAATGCACTATATATTCATTATCACAAACAAGCTCATAAGAGAGAGAAGTTAATTTATTTCTGTGTCGTAGTGGTCCCTTATTGTGGTGTGGACACACATATTGTAGATATACGATAGCCTTTATCAATGGTTTGATAATAAACACTTTCTTACTTTCTCATGTTAATAGATCAGTATCACGTCAAAACTCAATCTAATTAAGCTAGGTCCACACTATTGTCACACAGCACACTGGCTAGTCTAGTTCTTGTATGTATCAATACTGGCGATAATCTAATTAAGCTAGGTCCACACTGTTGATTTCCAACATATCACAATGGCTGGTTCATAGTTCAATATCTTTTTTGGTTATATACTGCGATATGAAAGTGAAAATTATTTGTTGGTTTACAACTCTATATCTATACTGGCGATAATCTAATTAAGTTAGGTCCACACTTTCTGATTAAAAATCCCAAGGACCAGCTCTAGCTAAGAAGGCGATTATATGACGTGTTGTGCAGATCTCAAATAAGCATCGCTGGATGTTTGAACAGAATCATGATTTTTTGGAGTTTCGGTGATCATAAATATTTAACAATGTAGAGTTTTACGTCTTACTTTACTGCTGTGCTTGTTTGGTGCAATCCCGTATTAACATGCCTTACATCATATCGACTGTGAAAATATGATATTGATAAAGTGTTCATTGATAAAGCATTATTTCGATTGCTCTAGTGTGACTATAACTTAAGATAATAATTTGGTCGATTCGTCAAAACTATGAAAAACATCAAGCCTGATTAGACTGATCCTGTTGTTTACGGCAATTCAACTAGTAAACAGTGTGCTCGGGGTTAGAAGCTAACAGTCTTAGTTAAAGGGTGACAGTCTAGAAGTTTTAGGAAAAAGGGCACAATAAACGGATTGTAAAGAGGTTTTCTGATTATTATATGTGTTTCAGGGATATTGATAGCATCAATTTGAACCATACGAATCTCGGTTACACGTCTGTGGTTCCTGTAATTCCACTAAAATTTAGGGTTTTATAAAGTCACTAATCGCAAAATATGCTGTTTCATGATCTGTGACGTCATCAAACACTTAGTTTTATTTCAATCGTAGGAACCACAGACGTCTGATCGTAAATTGGTATCGTGCAAATTGATGATATGACTGTCCCCTCTGCACATAAAAATTTAGAAAACCTCTTTATGTCATGCTAAATAGTTTTTGATCCATTTTAGATATGGATTATCCAGAAGGCAACCTCCTTGCCTGTTTACCGAGGAATTCCTTACTTTTCATCCCAGAAACTGGGTCTGCCCTTTTCTCACTCAAGAAAGAAAAATTCTACCAGATCAGCAAGTGTGTTTATTATATCACTATCACAGTGTTCTGTAAAACTTGAGAATTATCTAGAGAGCTATAAGTATCTAACAAGGGTTTTTATATTGACTATAAATATTTGATATAAGTTTACACCCATAAATAACTTTAAAATAAACAAATATTTGTTTGAGTAAATTACATCAATGAAAACATGATAAGATTGGCGTGGTCGGACCTAGATACCTAAAATACTCTTGTTACTTCAAGGGTTAGCAGCGGCGCAACTAGAGAAACTCAAGGGAGGTAGGCAAATATGGGAGGTGTCTCTCCGAGGCCCGTAGTGAGAGCGAGAGGCCCTCAGATGTCAAAAGATTTCAGGTGAACTTTTTAAAAGTGCATAATTTTTATTTTAGATTAAAACCTTTCATAATCCTAAAGGGGGAGGGGGAAGCATGGTGAAAAATGACCACTTAAATACGCCCACTGAGAGACAGTAAAGATGTTTTCTAACTTTTTAAGTGTTTCAGGAATATATATATATATATATCTGGTTTTTATATGTACCATACAAATTTTCAAACAGGGGCCGTAATAACTCATTTTCCATGGTCCCTACCTCGGTAGAGATATACGAAGGGAAATAACTGCATTTAATATATTGTAAGACTGATTTTAAAGATAGAGCTGGATTAAACTTGATAAAAACCTATTTTGTAAACCAGAAGAGACAATTCAGTAATTGACAAGGGCAATGTCTCTCCATCTATAAAAAAAAAATGATATCAAATCAAACTGTATATTTTAAAATTAATGCATGAAGCACAAAGTTTTCAGTAAAAACAAAAACATAATGGACTGTTTTAGACAAAGATTTTAGTTAAGAGTTTTTATTAGAAGTCTATTTAACAATGATGGTTAAAAGGTAACAAGTTACTATTCAACAGAAGGCACTGGCCCAGGCATAATGTTCACTAATGTTAAGGCTCGTATGTTAAAACGATTATGCGTAGTTCTTCTAACATAGACCTAAAAGTCAAAACTTTATTGAGACAGTTTCAAGCTCCAGTCCTGTAAACATTCTAGCCAACCAAGAACCAGTTGACAAAAACTCTTAATTGATTGGTCAATACAGTGACAGTAATAGAATCAACCAATCAGAGTTCTCTGTGCTGTATATCATTGTAAAGTTATGATGTAGGAGGCGACAGGCTGTATATTATTGTTAGCGGTATGCTATGTAAGATATAAGCATCGTTAGGTCGGTCATTATGATACCTAATTAAGCTGATGTACTCCACGAGTTAATGACCCTGGACCTCCAGCTGTAGACAAACCATTAGTACCTGTAATAGTCTTCAGTTGAATGAATGTGAATAAAAATCTCTACATATGTTGACTAATTATTCATAATACAATTCTATCCAATATACTATATAAGGTACTGATTATTCGGACAGTTTCAGGCAGAAAACAACAGTGAGTAGAGACACAAACTGTATTAGTATTCTCTCTCTCGCTCTCTCGCTCTCTCTAGTTTGATACCAGAATCTAGAAGCGACTCATTCCTGTAAAATCGTCACACTAAGTTCGGATTACTGATTTACCAAAACACCTTTATTTTAAAAAGAAAATATCCAAGATGGCACATCAAGATTTTATTGAGAAATTCGGCGGAAAATGGAAACAAGAAAAAACAGAAAATTTTGAGGAATATTTTAAGATTATGGGTAAGTGTGCAGTTTAATTAGTTTTATTTTTATATTGAAAGGGATCGAGTAGTCGAATTATTTGATTATTTGATTGAAATTCCTACCAATTTGTACATCACAAACAGCGGTAGATCTCTGACTTTCTTTGATCTACCATTTTTAATTAAAACAAAAAAATGCTGTTAATATAATACTCTTATTGTAATCTATACCAATGTTTCTAGGTTGTCGTATAAATGGATCAAACTATGTATGGCGCCAATGTTTCTAGGATGACTATAAATGGATCAAACTATATATGGCGCCAATGTTTCTAGGTTGTCGTATAAATGGATCAAACTATATATGGCGCCAATGTTTCTAGATTGTCGTATAAATGGATCAAACTATATATGGCGCCAATGTTTCTAGATTGTCGTATAAATGGATCAAACCATATATGACGCTACGAAATATGTCATTCAATTGAACATTTTAAACCTGCGTCATATTTAACTTAATAATCTAATATAATTCTTTTATCTTGGCAGATTTGAATATCATCCTCAGGAAACTTATGATGAAAGTCAGCCCCACGGAGGAATATAAACTTGACGGCGACTATGTGGTCACGATTAACAGCGTTGGGCCAACTTCAAATCAAAACAAGTTTAAATTAAATGAGGAATTTGAAGAGGAAAGAATGGGGAAAAAAATGAAGGTAGGTCCACAATTGATTATTACGTCGGACATGGAAAAAGTGTCTAGTCGTTCGAATGTAACAATAAATCGAGGACCTGTGTGTTACAGTCTGTGTTCTTAAAACCACTGTCACTGTGCTGTCCAACTTTCCCTTATTCCATACTGCAAGCGGTACCATTCTTCATTAGCCAATCGTATGCAGAAAAGTGGGACGTAAAACTCCATTTCATTTCATTTTATTGCAGAGTTTATGTCGATTTGAAGATGGCAAGCTCATAATCACGAGTACATCGGTTGATAATCCAGCTATAAAACCTCAAACTGTAACGATTGAAAAGATCACAGACGACCAAACCTTGACGGTACGTATTGATGCATACAAAACAATTCGTAACTGAGGCCCATTTCAAACTGCTGCAGGAAGGCCCAACCAGATACATACAGGCTCGACAACCTACGTACCCAAAGGTCGATCTTGCAATGACCTGATTCTGGAACGTCTTAATGTCCTATCTATAAAGCAAGGAACTAGGAAGCAGGGCTATGACTAAACATAAATCCTATTCGAGAACCGTCTCGTCTGATCACTTTAGAAGGGGTAAGGGAATTGAATATGCAAATTCATGTTTCTATTTTAAGACGATCGTGGTGGGTGATAACGACTTGGTGTGTAAAAGATATTTTAAAAGAGTTCCAGAATAGTTGAATCGAGAGAAGAGTTTTATATTGAGTGGATGTCATAAGATGGAACCAACATCTAATGTTAAATAGAAATACATGTAGTCGTCTAAATATAAACTTTACCAGTTGATTCTCTTGACATGGCCATTATTTTCAAACCCTCGTGATGATCTTACTGTTACTATTACCACATTGGTAATCTGAAACCTATAGACCTTATTCTATCGCTAATTCCACTGCTACGTTTTGATGATATTGTAAACGAACCATACCTCAAATTTCCATTTTGTAAAGTATAAACGAAGCTCTTGTAAAGCACGTATTTAAACGACTATACCCCTTCCATTTTCTAACATATTCATTATATTCTCTTTTAAATACTTTAAAGTTCAATATTTTTCAAATCATTTTTATTTATTACATTGTATCTCAAAGAATTTAATATTGCCTTCTAATTTATATATGTATGCATTATTCTGTTTAAATAAATATATAGTATTTTAAATAAATTGTCTTATATTGTGCAAAGTACGAAATGGTCGTGTCTGATAAGTTTACAGCGAGCCATCATTTGAAATTTTAGTGTTATCCACTCTTGTTCTCCATTCTTGTTCCCAACTCTTGTTCTCTACTCTTGTTCTTTACTCTTGTTGCCCACTCTTGTTCCTCACTCTTGTTCTCTACTCGTATTCCCCTCTCTTGTTCCCATCTCTTGTTCCACACTCTTGTTCCCCAGTTTTCTCCTCTACTCTTGTTCTACTCTCTTGTTCTCCTCCCTTGTTTCCCACTCTTGTTCCTCATTCTTGATCCCCACTCTTGTTCTCAACTCTTTTCCCCACTCTTGTTCCCCTCTCTTGTTCCCCACTCTTGTTCCCCAGTTTTGTTCCCCACTATTGTTCTTTACTCTTGTTCCCCACTCTTGTTCCAAACTCTTGTTCCCCGCGTTTGGCCCAAAATCTTCCCAAGGCCCGTAGGGAGAGTGATTAAAGGGAACAGTCGGCATTTTATGGATTGATATGGGTCTTTATTGTGCTTTAATAGTCTTAAGAAGTACTAAAACGCACGAAAATGCATAATCCCTTCAAATATACCTCAAACTAAAAATTTCGTTGTCGATGGTCAAAAAATAATCACTTGAATACGCCACTGAGGGATAGCAATTCTTATAATTTATATGACGTCTCTTTTCAAAAGCTGCTTACAAAATATAAGCGTTTTTGTTATACGTCATAAAAAGCTTAGTTTTAGTAAGAAACCGTACACTTCTGACTGAAAATTGGAAAAAGGTTTTTTTTTATTTGCACACGGATATATATATAAAAGTTGTAATAACTCGTATTCCATGGTCCCTTACTAGCTGGATATACAAAGGGAAATAACTGCATTTAATATGTTCTAAGACTGATTTTAATGATTAAAATGGAGATTTGCTGGATAACAGACCTGTAATGTAAACCAGTAGAGACAATTCAGTAATACCCTTGTACCATTCAATATCTACATACCTAGTTAAAAAAGGTTTTAAAACATAATGATTACGAGAAAAGTGAATACAGATAACCGACTGATTAACATTGGGTACCGAAAATATACTAACACGTGAAAAGACGTTACCTGTATGTGTTTCGAAACGTAGTATGTAATAAATCTAGAAGTAGTATATCTATATATCTTGTGTTTTTAACGTTACCTGTATGTGTTTCGAAACGTAGTATGTAATAAATCTAGAAGTAGTATATCTATATATCTTGTGTTTTTAACGTTACCTGTATGTGTTTCTAAACGTAGTATGTAATAAATCTACAAGTAGTATATCTATGTATCTTGTGTTCTTATCATGAAAAGATTTCGGCGCATACAAATTACTTGTACATGATTAATTACAGTCGTATCAAATCAAACTGTATATTTTAAAATTAATGCATGAAGCACAAAGTTTTCAGTAAAAACAAAAACATAATGGACTGTTTTAGACAAAGATTTTAGTTAAGAGTTTTTATTAGAAGTCTATTTAACAATGAAGGTTAAAAGGTAACAAGTTACTATTCAACAGAAGGAACTGGCCCAGGCATAATGTTCACTAATGTTAAGGCTCGTATGTTAAACGGATATG